TTAATTGATATAGGATAGACATTTTGTAAATTTATTTATTTTTAAAACGTTATAAACTTCATTTTTAGTGCTCATTCGGTTTATTTTTAATAGTTTTAATTTATTTTTTAATTTTTTACATATAAATTTTAGATAAAAATTTAATAACTTATATGAATAATTATTAAAATATTTTTTTTCTATATGAAATTTTTGTCAAGTATTTTTATTTGATTAAAAAAATTTTAATTATTATTTATATAATATGTTAAATTTTTATTTGAATTTTATATTTAAAAAGTCAAAAAATCAAATTGAAACTCTTAAAAAATAAATAAATGAAGTAAAATTTTCAACATAAAAAGAAAAAAAAATTAAGGGAAAGGTAAAGTTTAAACTAAAAGAAAAATAGAACTCGTCAAAAAATTTTGATTTGTTTTCATCATCATCATCATCGTAGTAGTAAATATTTTCCTCTAATTCCTACTTTTTCATCATGGTGATATTTTCTTATTTTCCTCCGATTCCAGCATTTCTCACATCAGCTTTTGCAAGTGGGTCCTACGTAGGTACGTTTTTATTTTATGGTTCTGAATACAAGGTCATTTTCATTTTAAAAAATTACTTCGTTATGGATCAAATTATTTGTATGATGCATCTTATATGACATCTTATATTTTGTTACTTCGTTATGGATCAAATACGTGTCTTTTTCTTATTGGCTTGGATTTAGATTTAGCGACAGAAGTATTTCTTTCCTCTAGAAATTTTTTTTTTTTAACAAAGGTAATTGTTAAAGAATTAATAAAGTTAATTGTTAGCAATTAAAATTTTTCAGAATAGTGAACATTCCACCCCTCATACAAGGCTAGTAACTTTGTTATTCCTTCCTTTTTCTTTACCATAATCTTGTTTTCAAACTTTTCAACTTTTAACTTTATTAATTAGTTCAGCAAAGTTGAGATGTTATTATTTTTCACTACTCTTTCAAGCTGTTGCAGACCATAAAACCAGGAATCATCGGCATCAAATTAAAGCAGCTTAAGAAAAAACTATTTATCAATTTAGCAGATGGAAGAAAGAAGAGGAGAGATGACACCAGAAGTAGCTTTGGGTATAGATGAAGGTGTTGAGGAAATGAGGGAAACGAGCGAGCTTTATGAAATGAGGGGGCTTTATGTAAAGGCCTTGGAAAATGAGCGAGAAAACATTGAAACACTGTATCAGAGCAAACATTGTGCTTTATTCGATCCCCTCACTCCTTGCGGAGATACTGTTTTCCACATTGCAGCATACATGGGAAACATAAATCTGTTTCGAGATCTCTTTGAAAAGGTTGAAATGCCTAAAAAATGTGAAGTGTTCACGAAGAAGAACAGTAATGGTAACACCGTTCTCCACGAGGTGGTCACGAGCAACAATTTTACGGCAGTAAAATTCTTAGTTGAGATTGCACAAGAAGGACGAGCGAGGATGCTGATGGAACGCAATAATTTAGGGGAGACGGTGCTATACAGGGCTGCGGCATTTGGCAATGAAGCAACAGTGGAGTACTTAGTAAATGAGGTGGAACTTCAAAAGGGAAATCTGAAAGATGATCACTTCACAAGAAAATCTGATGGCCTCTCCATTCTTCATATTGCTATTATGAATGAAAAATTCGGTACGTACTGCTCATTTGATTTAATTTTAAATTAGATCACTGACTTAGGAAAGAGATTGGTGATTTGCAATCCAAACTACAATTAGCTGGGTTTGAGTCCTAAAAACCAAGGGACCCCATTGAGCAAGAGATTGTAGTTTAATAGTTAAGGCAATTTCAACTACAAAACACATTTTTTCTTTAACATTTGAGAAATGCATGAGAATTGTCTATTAAATGCAGAGACAGCTATCTGGTTACTAGACAAATATCCAGAGCTGGCGACAAAGAAATGTTCTGGGAAGACATGTCTTCACATTCTCGCTAGCATGCCGACTGCTTTCAAAAGTTCTTTTTCCATAATGTATGGATTGGAGATTATGTATAGATGTAAGTTCATTGCAACTACAATCATACTGGCAAAAAAAACACATTAATTTTAGTACCACTGACTCGATTTGGAGTTTTTGTTTTCAGATATTCCAGGCAACTTAGTCTATAGAGATGAAATTGAACAGTATGTACCAAGTCAGAGCAGTAAGAGTAGGATACGCTGTCTAACAATGATAAAGAATATACGTATGTGTTAATTTCAAGCATTTCTGCTTCTAGTAAAGTGAGTTGCAACTATAAGTGAAATTGCAAAATTTTGCTTAATGCAGGTCTACCCAGGTACGATGATCTTTGGATGTATCTAGCTGAAAGTACGCACCCTAATAATTTCCTTATTTTTCTTAATTGCTTATTTGGTTTGTGAAAAACGGAGGGAGACGGGAGGTCACTTTATTTCGAGGAATCATTGTGTTAACAAAAATAATTGATTAGTTAAAATAATTTACTATGAATTTCTAATTAGAATTTATTTCTTTTCAGGACGGAATTTTAAGGAAATTGGGAAAAATAAAAGGAAGCATCAATTTGCAGTTGAATTGGCCAAGATGCTGGTAAAGTTGGATTCTTCCATATGGGGTGAGTACCACAACGAAGAAGGGCACAACAACATTATTTGCTTTTCAGAAGACCGTAAAAAGGGAGGCAAAGAAACAGGGGAGGCGTCGCCCCAAACCGGATGTGATGGCAATGCCGCCACCATTGAGGCAGCGCCGGATACTCCATTGATTATTGCCGCCAGGACAGGGATCAAGGAGATTGTGGACGAGATTATCAACGTGTATCCTCAAGCACTGGAGCATGTTACCAGGAGTGGACAGAATATTCTGCATGTTGCCATTCTACACCGTAACCACATCCTTGATCGCATCAGATCGGAGAGGGAAGTGGTAAAGCGGAAGCTGGTTTTGGGGATCGACCATGACGGTGACACCATTCTGCACAAAGCCGCTCGTACAAAATACTACCGTGGAGGAACCACATCGACGGTCGCTCTGAGACTGCAAGAGGAGCTGAGATGGTTCGAAGTAAGCCTTGATCAATTGTTTCCCTAAATTCATCCACTAACATTCAGGGTCTGTTTGGTTTTTAGGGTATATTCGGTTTTATTGAGAATTTAAGAGAAGTGGAGGAGAGGAGAGGAGAGGAGAAGGAGAAGGAAAGATTATTTCAATTATTTAAAGAAATTTAGCTTGACCAATTTTTCTTTTTTTTTTTTTTCGCGCATTAGGAATTATTGGAGTCTGAGGATTAACCATTGGGCCAAAGCATTGGCCCCGAAAGTTCAGTTCTAGGTGTTTGGTCAAATTAAAATTTATTAATTAAAAAATTTTAATTTGAGTTAAAGTTAGTACTTTAAATTTATTAAATAATTATTAATTTATAAAAAAATTATTTAAAAAAATTCGATTGATCAAAATAGTATTGCTTCAGTTCTTTCAAACCAAACAAACTTCTAACAATTGAATTAAATATTTCTTCAAGACTTGTGAATTCTTGTTTTGATTTTGCAGGAGGTGGAAAAAATGGTTCCTCCTCATTACAAAATCCATCTCAACAAGGAGAATCGTACGGCGAAGCAACTGTTAAAAGACCAGCACAAAGAACATCTGAAAGAGGCCCAAGAATGGGTCAAGAACACTTCTCAGTCATGCTCCACCGTGGCGGTCCTAGTCGCCACGGTTCTCTTCGCTGCCGTCTTCACCGTCCCAGGTGGTTTCAAAGGTAATTAACTAAACTTCTTGTTTACTTCTCCTCGCAAAGAAAAAAATATATATATCTAATTTGCCATTAACAAGCTACCGTATCAAAATTATTATTTTTTCCTTTGATTTGTTTTAAGCTGACACCGGAAGGGCAGTCCTTGAGAAGGAGCCTCTGTACTCTTTTTTCACCGTGATGGACGTGGCAGGACTGGCGAGCTCATTAACGTCAGTGGTGCTCTTCCTTTCAGTGCTCACATCGTCACTTGATTTGGAAGAATTTCGATATCAAATACCCTCGAAACTATCGGCTGGCTTCCTTTTTCTGTTCTTTGCCATTGCAACCACCGGGTTTTCCTTCACAACCGCAATTATCCTCACCTTTCATTTGGAGAAGGCATGGACTACGACTCTGACCTACGCCGCTGCATTCCTTCCAGTCAGCGTCCATGCAATTCTGCAGTTCGGTCTGTATTTCGAATACCTCAAGAGTGTTTTTTGGCAAAAACCTTTCTTAAACCCTCAAACTTAATCCAAAATAGTATTTAAGCTCCTGAACTAAAGTGAAGTAGATAAACCCTCCAATTCCACTAATGATATAAATAAACTCTTTTCACAAATGGGCGAAACGGTTTATCTCACGATGGACTAATTTTGTTTGTTTTTTGGGCTTCCACTAATTCACTATTTCATGCACATATTTAACTTTTTTTCTTATCTTTTTTTTTTTTTTT